ACACACACACATGCACGCACACACAGCTGAATCCTGCTACCCTTCATTATCTCAAACAACAAAACAGTGTAACAAGTACTGCTGTTTAGGATAAATCAGAAATCTCAGTAACCTGAGCCTCTACGAGTCAGTCATTCTCTATTTTTATAATGATCTATACGCAAAGGAGTAATTAAGGTTAATTGTATTAAAAGGCAAACATGGGGCTGGAGAGACAGCACTGCGGCATAGTGCGCACCTGGCAAGCGCAAGGTCCTGAGTTCCATTTTTAGTACCAAAAAAAAAAAAAAAAAAGCACATGCATACTACCTCTCAAGAAATCACGTGGTTCACTGTACACTAATTTTTCAATTTGGGTGTGTTTTTGTATCTCTTACACATCTTATTTTTGTTCTTCATAACCACCACTAGCAGAGTTCATTAAAGTATGCATGGCTTTTTCAATATTAAAACATACACAAATTAAAACACATTAATATACATGAAATATCACCTACTATGTGTCAAAAATGATGTGGAACATACAATCTTTGTCTTTAGGGAGCCTAAAGATTACTAACTAAATAAAAAAGCACAGGACAAGTAGGAGGTACAGCAACATTTTCTAACACTGGTTAACACTTATGACAAATCAACATACTTGGTAGGAGTTTATTTTTAAAATACAAGTAAAGCAGAGACACAAAAAATGGAGAAGAAACAGCTAGCATCTAGTCTGCAAGTACCACGGAGAAAAATATACAGTGCCGTACTGTGCTTTGAAAACACAGGGGATTGAGCAATTAATTTTGCTTTGGAGTTAGGAAATGCTTGTGATTTGTATTTACTTAAAATGTATATATAAGTTCTGTAAAGTATAACAACATGAATAAAAAGTAGTTTGGAGAACATTAAAACATTTACCTCAATTATTTCTGGGTAGGATTTCACACAGCTTTACTTTTCTCTACACTTTACTTAATGTACATCCTTCAATTCAAAATATAAGTAGATGGATCAGAATTAAAATTAGATATTAAGGCTCATGTAACAAATTGTCAGATTTTAAAATTTAATAGAGTTCAAACATGGGATGAAGGCACTCTCTTTGCTAATGGGTACACAATTAATACAACCTTTTTTACATTTTTGGGTCAAAAACCTTCTTAACTATCGAAAACCTTAAAGCTTATTGTCTTTGGTCCATAACTTCTAGGAATCCATCCCTAAAACACCAACAGAAAGAAAAAAACATTGCTGAAATGTTCAATGAGAGCATTATGAATATTAAAATACTAGGCAGAAAACAATGTCAAACAAAGACAGGATGGTTAGACAAAACATCACAATCTTAGGGAAAAAATGTCTGAAATACTTTTAATACCCTAAAAAATATTTAGTGGACATTACTTGAGAACAGAGAGGTGGAATTCAAACCTCTACCAACGATACGATTCCCACCTCCCACCGTACAAACAAAAACGGTGCATCCTGTTTAAAAGCAAACTCCCAAGAAAGATAATTCTATTATGCTGTTTGAAGCTCACAGGAGATGAGTGTATTAGCTTTTATTAGGCTACAGAGGCCTTAATATTTGTTTGAACAGGGACTTAGCCTCTGCCACTGTCATGTGGGTCAGTGTTGCAGGCCTACGAGGCCGCATTAGCGCTTACAACTCAAGAAGCTATTTTAGAAACTTCAAATTTCAGATTTCAGATCAAGTCTCAGAACCTCAATGTTAGGTCTAAATTTTAAATTCTGACCTAATACATTTTTATTATTCAATGACTATTTAATATTATTTTTCCTGATACAAAACAGAGACTCTACTGTTTTTGTTCATGTTGTTATACTTTACAGAACGTATACATACATTTTAAGTAAAGGCAAGTCACAAACCAAGACTCTACTGTTCTCTTCATTACAGCGACCACGTGCCAAATGCCTGGACACTGATCCACGGTGCCCTTCTCCGCTGCTGCCACTCTGTGCTGTGCAAACGCCCTGCCGCTTGGCCACCACTCCCACGTGCCCACTGGAATCTGACCTTTGAGGCCTTCCCCAGTGTCTGTGTTTCACCTCTCTTCACTTAGGCCCGCAGAGCTTTCTGCCTGCCCTTATGCTGTATGTTTAGAGCCTATGCTCTCAGAAGTGAGGGACTGAACCCGGCACATGGATCAACACTAAATAACTACAGCTTTTGCCAATGGAAAAGAACTATACCACTTTCCAATGATCATTACTGGCAGATGAAGTTCATAATCTTAATTCTAAAACTGAAACATTAAAAAATTTCCTATCTACCATCTCTTTTTTTTAAAAAAAAATGGCTATTAAATGGCTATTTGTGACTCAAAGTAAAATTCTATAAATAAAAATACTAAAATATTTTGAATTATGGATTCCAAGTCTATATAGGAAAATAAATGAAAAATACTAAATGAGTATAAAATGACAGCAGCACTTTTCCATGTGTTATAGCTAAAATAAATGTAGAAACTATTGGACCAGAGAGATAACTCAGTAGAGTAAGTGCTTCCCTGGCAAGTGCAAGGCCCTGTTCAATTCCCAGTTCCGAAAAAAAAAAAAAAGAAGAAGAAAAGAAAAGAAACTATCATGGTCGGCTACAATGAAGGCAAGGTACACTAAGAGTAGAATGAGAACAATATTTTAATAATAATTTCTACTAACCACTTGGGGTCCAATTTGGAAATGTAGTCTATTAAAAATAGCTACAGAGAAGCCTGCAATATAAAATAGGATATTTTTATTATTCTAGTAATTAAAACAAAAATTGAATAAAAGGAAATGACTAATAAACCTATCAGCATACAAACATTCCAACTGTCTGTTTCCTATCCTTTAACATTTTTCCATTACACTAGAGTAGCTCCACTGGACTTTCATTATTAAATAAGGGGTTAAAAATGCTGATCTCTTCATTGTTTTATTTACAAGATTATTGTGGGTTAAGAGTAGAGAGTGTGCATACTGCCTGGGGTTCAATATGCATACACTCCCCCAAAAGTTTTCATTTTGGTGATAATGTTGGTTTTATAATGAACAGATGCGAAAAGTAAAATTGTGACTTACTCTCAAAGTAAAATTCTTTGAATAAAAATACTAAAATATTTTGAATCATGGATTCCAAGTCTACAGACCATTCTACGTTGTGACAGTACCTTTGGGTCGTGCATAGATCCAGGTAACACAAAACGAGCACACAGGTTGGGAGAAACCAAGGGGAGAAAGGCCAAAGGCTCAATCAGGCGTCTTCCTGGGCTCGTCAGGGTAAGATTAATTTTGTAAGTCTTTAGAATGACGCTATCTACATATTCAAATACCAGAGGATGATAAAATTAAGAAGTTGCTACCAAAATTAATTGTATATGCAAAAGATTAAAAAGTAAACGAAAGCCACACTCTGTACGTGTGACTTCTTATGGCTCTTTTAAGAAAGCTTAAAACATGTGTTTGAGGAATGGCTTCTGGTTTCTATTCATATAGCGTGAGAAAATTAAAATGCAATGAGGAAAATATAAACGAAGAACAGAACAACCTCCCCAAATTACTAAATACATAGTCCTGAGGCCCAAGTTTCACTGCATGTTTTCTAAGATGTAAAAAGAAAGAAATCAGTGAAGTGCCCGATGGGCCTGGCCATACTACACCACAACCTTGCAACCAATAGGAAAACTTTCCCTAAATCTGGATTCGTGTTTCCCATCTCGATCACAAAACTCAAAGAGCCCAAACAGCAGTGTTCGCCGACACCCAAATGCCTAGAAACCCGGTCTGAATAATCAGTACTAGGAAGCAAATGTTTTTAAAGACGCCAAAGGGTAAAAGATAAAACAGTTGAGGACAGAAAAGCGGGATTCCTTCTCCGAGTCGTATTTGTAACGCCTCTTCGTAGGGAGTTCGAAATGTGGAGCAGCCCGGACTGCAGGAGCAGACTGGAAGGGGGTCGGGCGGCGGGGTCGTTAGGACCGGGCCGGGCGGCGGGCCGGGGCGGCGGCTGCGGGCGGGCGGGCCG